AAGCGAATATAATCGTTAAAAATAAGGAAGATGTTTCTATTTTATGTGTGGTGTAATGCCGTCATATTCATGTATACTAAATTTAAGTAACTTACGATTCATGTACACATAAATAGAAAAAGTGGTAAAATTAAGAAAAAGCAATCGAATAATTTTAAATTTATTCCGCCATTTTGTAGATCTCGCTTGAATGACTACCACCAATGCGAATGACTAACCCCCCATCCCCTCCTTGACTAGTCTTAAATATGTTTGTTTGTTTTGGCATTTTAAATAATAAATTATTCGTTCATTAGCTCAGTCCCAAAAAATAATTAAAAAGCACATTGCGAATTTTTAGATGAATATAAGAATTCATTACGTTGTGCATTTTATTACATTTGTAAACCACATTCTCGATTATTTTTACCTTGTGTCCCGATATTTGACCTACTGCACCTGGCAACACTTATACACACTTATAGCGAAAGGTGCTAGCTCTCGTATCTTGAAAAGCTGCAGGTGTAGTCAATGTCTTACTAGAAATCACAGGTGTTGGCAGTCAATTTATTTATATTAATGTTAAAAAAATGTTGCAATTAACATAAAATAAAAGATCATTTTTATTTTCTCATTAATACATAGCATAATATGTAACATAATTTGTATTAAACTTTTACTAAAATTTACATGTATTGTAATTTATAATTATGAAATATATATTCCGGTTATAAATTTTATATCGATAGCTAATCGATAAATTTTTCCTTTGCTTTGTGTATCGTTAATCGCCTTTTTTAAATCGATTTAACATTGTTTAATCTCTAGACACGTTAAACTGTAAGCTGTCTCCCGCACCATACTATAATGCAAAAAACAATAAACCATTTCAATGTCGTAAAATAGAGATTAATAGTAAAGTGAACTTTAATTTCGGTTATTTTTGGTATTATAATCATTTTTATTACGTGTGCGGAAATTCTCATATTTGGGTAGTTTGGGAAGTGGTTGAAAATTGAACCGAAAGATTCCATTACTCGGTAGAGCCACGCTGCAGCTATATTATGGTTACAGCACGAATGTGTCGGCTTGACTGTGGTTGGACCACGCTCTCACAGAATACCAGCGTAAATAGCAGTTAAATGCTGCCGTGTTTCGTATAGTGAGAGTAGAGAATCGGAGACCCTTTTTACTGACAATGAGGCATTCAATATTAGTCCTCAGGGGTGACAACGCTTCTGCATTTTGATTCTTAATTGAGCATAAATGTAGATGTCTTTGAGCCACAGCATCCACTTACCATCAGGTGCTCGTTTGTCACCCTATTCTAAAAAGAAACATTCAGATATAAATTAAATTCGAAATGAAAAATCGCAAGTTTTGATTTGAATTGAATATTTTCAAAACTTCCGATTTCAAGCGGAAACGTCCCATACAAAAATACAGGTGAAGTTAATAAAAACATGTTATTGAAAAAAAAAAGCAAAAAAAATATGTTTGCAGCAATTAAGTTATAATAAATTTTTGTTAAATAACACGATTTGTCATCCTATAATAATCGAGAGTATTATCTGTGCTTGTTCTAACTTGCCCAGTGTCTTCGAGGCATTCGGGAGTCAGTGAGTGAACATACACCATACACTAGTCGGATGTCGGACCAGATTAAAGTTGGAGCCATTTTTTGGTAGTCCATGCGAGGTGACTGTACACGATGGATATCGACGAAGATTTTGTTGTGATGTATGTATGATATTTAAGAAGAAATAAATTAATAGTAAAAATAAATATAATAAATTTAAAAACAATCTTTTATTTAAATGATCTAAAAAGAAGAAAATAAACTTTAAATTAAATCAAACCCATCATTTTATTACAATACACAATTTGTTATATAAAAGCTTGTCGCGAGATTTTCCTGTGTACATAAACAAGAATATAAATGTAACTTGATATATGTTAATATGAACTAGTGTGATTAAATGTACAGGATTTATGTTATATTTTCGAACGATTCCAGGATATAGATATTACTAACTATACTATTTTTATTTTAAATATTATTATTTATTAAATGAAACTAATTTTTACTTTAATTTAACTTTTAATTCAAGATGTTTCGGGTGCTTTACAGCACCCGTGGTCACGGGGGGGGACTGAGGTGTTTGACATCCCGAAGTCATACTTAGCCCAGCTACCTTCAGTTTCTGAATATTAATTTTTGGTCCGATTTACGCAGAATGAGCTTACAGTATCTTGAAGTCTTGCAGTGGTGTGCTTGGTCTTGGATATAATTTTGTTAATTATAGGACCCCAAGCAGATGGCAGCACCTATCCATTTTCTTTATTGAAATTAGGATGTTTTTTTTAATTTCAATAGCCTCGCGAATTATCCTTGGTAGGAGGAATCGGTGTTCTTTTCGGAGGATTTGTGATCTAAAACATGTTCACACATTACAAACTTCCCGGAACGTCGGTGATTCAAGTCAGCTAAATGTTCTTTCACGCGGGTTTTAATAGATCTTTTTGTTTGTCCTATGTAAGAGAGATCACACTCCAATCTAACTTGTATACTCCTGTATCTTGTAGAGGGATATGACACTTGACAGATGGTAAAAATTGACTAATCTTCTTCGGCGGCTTGAAGTATGTTTTAATGGAAGCTTGCTTCAAGATGTAGCCAACCTCCACTATACATTGATAAGTCCCATTCACTCTGTCTTACATTTTCTGTATTTATATATAGCGGTTACATTAAAGCGCATTGAGAAAACTGCACATTCCATGTTTAAAATAACTCTATTATGAGACACTTCTGAAACGCCGGCGTGTGATAGTGCGTGAAATAGTGACAAAAGCGTGAGTTTTGCCTAACTTTTACCTAATTGAGCATAGAAGTCACTATCAGCTGCAGCTGCCTCTCACACAGCCAGTTGTATATAGCCCTTTCATGCGTCACTGATGCCAAAATGATGTTTGTGGTCTCGGCTCCCGGGACTCGGCAATATTACCGCCAGTACTGTTTACAGAGAGGCTTCTTGTATACATAAAATATATTTTTATTTTTCCAACAATTTTTTATACCAGATGGAAGTTAGCGTAGAACATTCTTTTTTTAACTATCGAATAAGATTAGAATTAGAATCCGAAATCGCTCCAGCTCTATTGTTATTAGTTAATTTATAAATAATTTAAAAAAATTTAAGTATCGAAAATTTAGTTTTGCTATAAAATATCTAATTATTAAAATTAAACTGTATGCTAATTAATTGCTCCTTAAATGCTCCAGCAGAATCCGAAATTGCTCCACCTCTATTGTTATTAGTTAATTTAAAATTAATTTAAAAAAAATTTAAGTATCTAAAATTTAATTTTGCTATAAAACATAAAATATATATTTTTTTAAATGAAACTGTATGCCAATTGATTGCTCATTAAATGCTCCAGCAGAATCCGAAATCGCTCCACCTCTATTGCTATAATTTATTTATAAATAATTAAAAAAAATTAAGTATCGAAAATTTAATTCTGCTATAAAACATAAATTATCTAGTTTTTAAAATTAAACTGTATGCCAATTAATTGGTCCTTAAACGGTCCAGTAGAATTCAAAATTGCTTCACCTCTATTGCTATTAGTTAATTTATAATAAATTCTAAAAAAAAATAATTGTCTAAAATTTAATTTTGCTATAAAACATAAAATATGTACTTTATAAAATTAAACTGTATGTCAATTAATTGCTCCTTAAATGCTCCAGTAGAATCCGTAATTTTTCTGTCTATTGCTATTAGTTAATATATAATTAATTTTGAGATAGAGTGATCCTATTTGAGTAATAGCGCCATCATTAATAGAATGTAGTAACATTCTATAGTTAAAGTCATTTTATCGAACAAAAATTGATTCACTCTCAAGGTGGTACGTAGAAAAGACTCTAGATGGCATAAACACAAAAATATTATTAACATGGTTGTCTAATCCATTCATAAGAATCCATAATTTCAACACTCACCCATCAATATTTTTTTTTGGTTTTATGCCATTAGGCATCTATTCTACGTACCACCTTGAGAGTCAATCAATTGTTGTTCGATAAAATGACTTTAACTATAGAATGTTACTACATTCTATTAATGATGGCGCTATTACTCAAATAGGATCACTCTATCTCAAAATTAATTATAAATTAACTAATAGCAATAGGGGTGGAGCAATTTCGGATTCTGCTGGAGCATTTAAGGAGCAATCAACTGGCATACAGTTTTATTTTAAAAAGTAGATATTTTATAGCAAAACTAAATTTTCGATACTTAAATTTTTTTTAAATTAATTATAAATTAACTAATAACAATTGAGCTGGAGCAATTTCGGATTCTGCTGGAGCATTTATGTAGCAATTAATTGGCATACAGTTTAGTTAAAAAAAGAATGTTCTACGCTAACTTCCATCTGGTATTTGTTATGCATATATTCTTCTCATTGATTCTTTATTAACATACCGCACAAACGATGTTGCGGGTACAGCTAGTTTGCGCAAACTTTTTATTTAGCCGACTTCTAAAAATTAGGAGGATCTCAACTAACATAATAAATTAAGAAGTGGTGGCTTTTATACTTTTATACACTTTGTCTTAGCACCGACTTCTGAAACTATAATGCGAAATTATTTTATTATTTTGAGTTCTTTAAAGTCGGATTTTTGTTATAGAAATTCTATTTTTGCTATAATTAGTTCTTAAAGTAAACAAATTATAACCAAAGTATAGCATATTAGACTTACACGTGATCCAGTAGATTATAACGTATTAGTTTTTCAAAACTGTTTACTTAATCCTAGCGTATACTTCATTCAGCAAACATGATTATCGCCAACCTTTTACGTTATTAAACAAACAATGACCAATTTCGTAGATATTAGTCCATTACCGTAATACCTCTGGTATAATGAACACCTGAGTATTGAGAGTATAGATTCACGAGAAAATTTGAATATTGTATTTTTCTTTAAATCAAACAATTCCATGAGTAATATTACCGAAGCTCATAACGAGTTTGATATACATGCTTGGGCACAATTTATAACTAAATCTAGGGAAGTGGAGCCTCCGTGGTCAGCTACAGTGTTTATCAGTTTTGTATACATAATAACAATAACAGGTATTCTAGAAAATGTGCTTACGTGTGCCGTTATATATAATGATAAAACGATGCACACATCTACAAATTTTTATTTATTTAACCTCGCAGTGTCTGATCTTATAGTGACTTTCACTGTATTGCTGGGAGCACCTGACTATTTCGAATATGGACAATGGACATGCAAAGTACACTATTTCTTTATAGTCGTTTTATGGAACAATAGTGTTTTGACTATTACAGTCCTATCAATCGAACGATACATGGCGATATGGTATCCTCTGCAGTTTCAGTTAACGCCCATGTGGCGAAGAGTTTTAAAAATTATCACTGCTATTTGGATAATGGCAATACTAGAGACGATTCCTGAATTGTGGACAGTGGACTTGGTGAAATTAAATCGATCTTCAATATGCTCTACGGTTCCGACACCGACGGCACGGGTGATTCATGGTTTTTTGGGTTTAATAACTTTCTTGATCCCCCTGGCAATTATGACATTTGTGTATATTATGATAGCATTAAAAGTGAATATCACTCAAAAATCTAATACCAGTAATAAGATATTTAATCATCATGACAACAGAAGAAAATTAAATAAACTTGTTAGTAAGTATTACTTTAAGGTCTCACGTGATACGAAAGAACTTTTATTTGAAATATATTGACAAAATTTTCTTTTATTGTCAGTAATTTTGACGCTGTCGTACCTGTTGTGCTGGATGCCATTTTTTATGATGCGAGTATTACTCTTCGCTCTTGAAAATTATCAACTGATGGCATTAGAAAAGGTAAGTATTTAGAATTTTAAATTATTGTTGAGGAATCATTCAAAATAACTAATCTTAATTAGTGATTGCAATAACGGCAAATTCTTCCTGTTATGGATGGTGTATATGTCTAGCAGTATTATGGGCCAATTAATATTGAGTTACTTCGTTCGTTTAGTAGTTGTAAGCGCGTCTGCTAATCATAAGGCGGGGCCAGATCGTGAGAATCCTAAGTTGCGCCAAAATCACTTATTGCGTTTTTCTATCAAGAAATTCTCAGCAACCTGGAGTCAGGAAGTTGGCGGTGTTACACTCCCAGGCTTCGGAAATCACATAAAGCCGTAAATCTTGCGCTTGCCATCGGATGGTAAGAGTAAGGGAAAAATGTAAACCCGTGCTTGCTACATACTCCTGTACTGTAATCCTGTCCGGCGGTGATGATTACTCTCCATTGAAACTTGCCGTCGTGACCGCAGTATGACCTTGGGAACATTGTGATATAGGAAATATGTGAATGAGAAGAGGCATGTTGATGCTTCTATAACTTTAATTATAATGTTCTCTATTCTTAACTTAACTCTAATATGTATATATAGTCGTGGGGGCTATACCACACTACAACATAATTTATCTAAGGAGTTTTGATAAGCTGTAATGAATGAATGAAAATAAATGTTTTTTTAGCGAATCCCGCTTCTTGAACAAAGCCTTAAACTATTTATACAATTAAAAAAAATAAGATTACTTTGTTATTTTTTATAATATGTTGTTTTGTAAGATGTTTGTCAATCAATATTATAATCAATAATACTATCATATCGTGTTTTAAATCTGGATTGCTATTCAAATATCGCCCATAAGAAAATTGCAACCGTAAATGATAAGAGGGTCAGCTAAATCAGAAGGTTAATTTAATTTATGGTTTTCCATTTTATTTTAGTAGGAAATATTGTCAATATTGTACACAAAAATTGCATAAGTGATTTTTTGCTATGCATAATTTTGAAGTAAAACTTTTCTATTTCAGTGGTGGAGTTTAGGACAAAGAGTGATCTACATAAATAGCTACTTCAGTGTTGTATTGAATCCAATAATTTTCAGTCTTATTTCTACAAAGTTTAGAGAGTCTCTCAAGGTAAAAATATATATTATTTTATTATGTTTTGTGAACACGATACGTTTAAGAGCAATCATAAATGAAAAATTAATGGTTCAATAAGAAAGTCATATATGCCAAAAAATTCACATACTTTTCAGAGTCTAGCGTAGACTTCGGTTTAACAACATAATTCTTGCCAAAATTAGCAAAATGGAGCACTTATGGATGATTCAAAGAGCTCCGTTTTGTTAATTTTGCCACCCTCGGGTTCTGTTTGTCTGTCAGTTTAAGTTATTTAAGAAATTGGAGAAATATTTCAATTCAACTGTGAATTTACAACACGCATTGGTACAGCGCCAGCTGTCAGACATGAGGAAAGGCTTGGGCCCAGCTGTGAGATGTATAAAAGTTGTTACTTTATTGTACTTTTCGAAAAGGACTTGTACACATTTAATTTACCTTATTTTTAAGGCGTCTCATTAAATTTATCTATATCTATGAATCGTCATCTTGTTTAACCTATTGAAAGACCATTTTTGAACATAGATGATAAGTGGCAGAGTTCCTTTTTAACCTAGGAGATCATCTGAGTTGTTACTTGGTACCATCCCTTTCAATATTTCTGCCATCATTCAACCGTATTGTGTTCTAGTTTGCAAGTTAACAGAACCAAAAAATACAAGATATGAGATATTTAAACTTAGTTTTATGAGGGTGACGCCCGTAGTTTAAATTGCTCACTTAGCAAAAAGCAATAAAGAAAGATACACTTCTTGATTTGAAGTTATTCGGTGCATGTAACTTGTAGGGCTTACAGAGGCCACTGCTATCTATAACGAACCATGTATACATGGACTAACTAGTAGATTCTCATGTATATGCCAAAACAGCAACGCGTGATACATATTATGTCACGTTTTAACGTTGCTACCAAAGAGAATATAATCACTACGTTTAAGAGGCGGGACTTCCTTAGTAAAAGTAAATGTATGAAAGGGCACCAAGCTACACTACCAACATCAAGACATAACATTTAATTTTTGACAAACAGTGCTGACAACATTAGCGAATTATAATAGTATTGTAAACATAAATTAACACGGGTCGCTGACGTGAGGGGAGGAACCATACGCAGGCGTTTCCATGTACCAAAGTATAAGTCCATATATGCGGCCCTATCTATAATATAAAAATGAATCGCTGAATGTGTTGCTAAGCGTAAATCTCGAGAGCATCTGAACCGATTTCGCTAATTCTCTTTTTATAATATTCCTTGAAGTATGAAGATGGTTCTTACGGAGAGAAAAATTTGAAAAGTTGCCTGAAAAAGTCTAAAAACAACACTTTTCTATATTCCCATACAAAAGATTCGTAATAATACTTAAAAGTCAATTTGAACTTTAATACCATACCATAGAGTTTAAATGTTAGTAGAGGGGTTCCGGGAAGGCAAAACAATTGAGTGACGTTAGTATCCTATAAATATTAATGTCAATATTTGTCAATATTTATACACACTGGTAGATAGCTGATGTTATAAGGAGTAACTTGAGCTGCTTTTATTTTAGGGTTCCGCGAAAAATAACTCCACGCGGGCGAAGTCGCGGGGAACAGCTAGTGTTTACAATAAAACTAGTTGCAACCGCACTGCTCACTAGACAAAATTTATATGCGCGACGGAATCAACGTCCTACAAAAATGCCTTATAGTTCAGTTTTTTTGTTGTCGAATTTACAAAAATATGACATTACATGTGCTGTAAAATTAATAGTCTACATCTTGATGCTTTTTCTATCGACTTCAAAAAGGAGCCGGTACTCAATTTGACTGTATGTTTTTTTATGTGTGTTACCTCATAACTTTTTACTGGGTGAATCGATTACAATGATTCTTCCTTTATTTGAAAGCTGGTTCTTCACATGTGGTCCCATATGAATTTGATCAAGGTATAACCAATAGTTTTTGAGTTATTCTTAATAGTTTATATTGAAGTCGGTTATACAAAATTTTTAATTATTAATTATTTAAGTTTAGTTTTTTTAAAAGGGTAAAACTACTGTTTTTTTTACACTGATTGGATTCATTTGCTTCTTCACAGTGGAACGTACGCAGAGATCGTTCACTAATAGTCGATTTCTAAATTAAACTGCTTATAACTAATGTTTGTAGATGAATCTATGAATAAAACAGAAAATATTTATAATCAGGTAATTACAAATAACTTCGAGTTTAGTTATATAATTGAATTCTTACCCAAATGTGACTTTAGAGGAATATAATCTTTTGCTACATGTAAAAGAAATCTAATTAATATACACATTATCGTGGAAGCTTAAAGCCACTGGTGGAATAACAGTTCATTTTAGTAGGATTCACATCCTCGGATTTGCCACAAATATGTTTTAACAACACACACCACAGTAAAGCTTTTCATTTGGTACATGCACCACTGTGCCAGGTCTTCATTTCCAACTTATTTCACTCATTGCTTACATCTGAAAAAATAAAAAATAAAATCACATTTTTATTAAACTAATCGAATGTGTTAATCACCAGTAATAAAGTGTGATTGTATTTGTGCACATAATCGTACGCTATAAAAACCTGTCCTACGTAGATGGCTAGTCTCGGGTGATATAGCGTCCGTGATCGAAGGTCGGCTTGGAGGACATTAGTACAAATAAAGGTCCAAAAATGTATTCGCGTAAATATCATATTACAATTAAGGTTAAAATCACCAGATACCTTTCGTAATCTAAGGGAAATATTGCTATGAATAGCCTCTTCTTGTTATTTTTTTCGCTTCTTACACCATCTAATTGGTAAGTTTTATAATGCATATTTGACTTTTTAACAATTCTGTAATTTAACGTCGCCAAAATTAAAAGCAATTTAAATAAATAAAATAAATACAAATGTTATCGTTTGATTGATAGACGTATTACGAAAAGTAGAAAAAAGAGATAACCGCCATTAAAATTTGCTCCCTTTTGTTGCGTACATATAATTTTTACTAAGGAAGTTGCACCAGCCTTCTTGCTACGAAGACGGTGTTGATATTGGTATCTTTATGTTTATCACACACACCATATAGTGATACTACCATCAAAGAAGGCACAAGGTTTTTTTGTCATTCCACTTATTTTCCTCTTAAGAGTCTTAGGGTGAAATGGAGTGGTAGATTCACCTGCGCTGCCATTGCATGGCAAATATTAATCAATATGTACATACGTAAGTTCGATTATTATTAGCCGAGTGCACCACATTCGTGGGGGATTGGAATTTGGAAGATTAGTTTGTAATACGTACTTACATCATTTTAATATAAAACACTTTTTCCAGAGACTGTGGGTGACTAACATCAAGAAACGCAAACTGAATATTGCCGTGGTCTGAAAGCAATGGTCTTGCAAATTTGATTTAGTCGGATGTTCTATATATAATGGCAACAAATATCTCATAATATTGAACACTTTCACTGTCCAGTTTTCAGACACAATAGTAAGACAATAACAATGACCTATATGTAGTGCACGTGACAGCGAAAGGGTTAAGATATGTAAAGCGACGCTTCTTCAAAAATAAAAATAATAAAGATCCAAGTTGTCTAGTGTTAACCAGAGAAATAATATTGGCTTACTTTTATTTTCCCCCTTTCTTTGTTTATAATTAAGCTGTATTTGCGACATAGTACGATTGCTAAAATTAATACGAAATGTGGATTATATATATAATATGGATAGAGCCGTGCTAGCTCAGATGGTTAGCGCTCATGGTAAGTTTCACAGTATTCGAGCAACCCGGGTTCGATCCCCGCCGACACCAATGAAATTGTTAATTGCAATTTTAAGTGCTGATTTACCACGTGCTCGGCATTATCCTTTATATTTTATTATTTACATTTATCCTCGATTAAGAAGCAAAATACAGATGCGTTGTTACCCCTAAAGATTAAAATGGAATGCCTCGTTTCCAGTAAATGGTGTCAACGGATCTCTACACACACCATACAAAACACAACAGCATTAAGTTGCTATTTTACAGAGCGTGGTCCTACCCCGGTAGGGACGACTCGTTCGTGCTACAACCATAATATAGCTGCAGCATGGCTCTACCACGTAAAATAATCTAAATGAAATAAATAATATAATTAAATGGTTATACCGTATTCTATCAAAAGCCATAACATTTTTCAGGTATTTCTCACATTTGTCACGAGATGAAGTGGGTTGTGGATCCTCTTATGTTGTCACCACAATGCATTTTTACTCAATTAAAATTAAGTTACACAAATTGAATTAAAATGTTTATATTAAACTCCTATTGATTGTAGCGTGATGAAAACTATACTATAACCTGCCCAGGAGTATGAAGAATGATTGTACCAAGTTTCGTTAAAATCCGTCGAGTAGTTTTTGTTTCTATAACGAACATACATACAGACAGACACACAAAAATTTTACTGTTTGCATTTTTGGCATCAGTATCGATCACTAATCACCCCTGATAGTTATTTTGGAAATATATTTCATGTACAGAATTGACCTCTCTACAGATTTATTATAAGTATAGATATACATATATACATATTTACAGTTTTAACGATTATATTAGGTCCTTACATATGAAATTAGCGTTTTGTCGTACTGACCACTTTGATCTGAAATATCTCCTCCTTGGTTAACATTTCAAAATTCATTTAGGTGGTACATATTATGAGTTTTGAAAACAGTCATTCAATTGTTTTTTCTTCATTATTTTTTTCTTTGGCGTCGCTTATTACCGCACAATGGAAAACATGAAATATCGGTATATTTACGAATACGAGATCTACCGTGGCACCAGTGCTGCAGAAACAGCTCGAAGGATAAATGATATGTACGGCACTGGTGTTATAAAAGAAAGCGGTTTTGGTTTCAACGTTTTCGTTCTGGAAATTTCGACCTTCAGAACCAATCCCGTGGACAGCCGGAGACCAAAGTGGAAAATGAAGAATTAAAGGCTATTGTGGAAGCGGATCCATCACAAAGCATTTCAGAGATAGCTGCAGGCTTCGGGGTAAGTGATAAAACTGTATTAATCTACTTGAAGCAAATCGGGAAAGTAAAAAAAACTTGAATGATGGGTATCTCATGAATTGAGTGAATTGAACTTGCAAACACGCATCGACTGCTGTGTTACTTTGCTCAACCGACACAATAATGAAGGGATTTTAAATCGAATCATTACTTTTGATGAAAAGTGGATACTGTACGATAATCGGAAGCGCTCGTCGCAATGGCTGAACCGTGGAGACCCAGCCAAATCCTGCCCTAAACGAAAATTGACTCAGAAAAAAAATTAATTGATTATCGCCCCCATGGTTTTTTTAGTAAAGGATCCATGAACTACATATGAGATGGCAAAAGTGCATAGATAACAACGGTGCGTACTTTGATTAATTAAATATATTTTACAAAAAAAAAATGACTTTATATTCCTCCCGTACAAAATGCCAATTTCATATCTAAGGACCTAATATTTTTCCATTTTTTTCATTTGTTGTTTTATTATTTGGACTTTAAATTAACAACCTTCAAGGTGACTCAGCTCTTTAGCGTGCAACGTAAAATTGACCGTGTGAAAAGCATGATTCTCTCAAATTTACGTCACAATATTGTAATGTTTAGCCCTGTGCTTTATTGATGGTCATACTATAAGCCAACTTGACTGAGAATTGTAATCGCTTAAAATTAAAAGGTAATCCAGTTGATAATAAAAGTATTCGCGATATAAATACCGTTTGTCCTTTTTCTTTACCCGTTATTATACTGGCGTCGATGATGTTATTCTGTAGTTGTTTGATGCAGAGTCTTGTACCATAACACAGTTTCGGTGAGTTCAGATTTCATATTTAAATGCTTGGCGAAGCAACTTTCATTTAGATCAGAGTAATGGCATTCCTGGTACATTCTAAGAATTTAAAAATTTGATAGTGAAATTGATAGTTACGTCTTCATGAGTTATTTTATCGATCGACATGTAATGATTGCGTTGAAAATAATTCATTCGCGTAACCATTCTGAATTAGTATAATTATCCACAATATTCGGGTATACCTTATTTATAAGTTACTCAGGTGTATCAATAACATTGCGCAATTCATTTATTAGTACAATTTGGCCATAATTTTCATGTATTAGATAGGTGCCATCTCCTATTCGTAGTAGATTTTCGGGAAATTCTTGCGCTTTACGTCTTTTAAAGTTTGTGCTCTCATATTTTTGTTGAGTGATTTCTTCAAGCAGGTATTAATTTCATCCGCTGGTGTTGATTTCGGAATGACAGGTAGCATTTGACGAAAATCACCTGAAAATATTAACAATGCACCTCCCGTTAAGCTTGTATTATCTCATAGATCTTGGAGTGTTCTATTTAGTGCTTCTAAAGACTTTAGGTAAGCCATTGCGCTTTCGTTAGGTCGATGTCTTTCTTTTTTGTACTAAGCTCAAGTGGTTGTCAATACCTCTTCATCGAAATGCTCACATACTTCATCTTTTTTATAGTATTCTCTTTAATCCTTCTTACCTCAAAAGTCACCTTGAGTTTCTTCTTGATTCCCATTCGCGTAACTTGGGATCAGCAAATTTATGAACAAGTATTTTACTGTACAGGCCGTAAGTTTATGGAAGGAACACCCATTGGCAGTAAAGCGCGCACCATCCCTACTGGTATTAAAAAAAATGATCAAGAATCATTACCTCGCACTTTAAATTGTAACTTCGCTTCCACACTAGCCATTAAATATATGTAGCATATTGATTGCATTTAATTAATTAAATAATTCAATATATATGTATTTTTGGAACGAAGTTCCTTATCAAACGATACGAATTTAGCGGATGGAGGCTAGGCGAGAAAAAGAGTAAGATTTTCCGTCACTACCCCTTCTGATGTAGTGTAGACGGCCTTGGTGGCTATAATGAAGCGGGATGGAATAATATTCATTTCCCTCGCACTTTCTCTTATCTTGTCACGAAATAAATATTATTTGATTTGAAATGGCGCTTCATTTTAATAGACGCTAGTAATTCATTTATTTGTATTTATTAATCAATAATATAATAAGTTTATCACTATATATATATATATATATATATATATATATATATATATATATATATATATATATATCACTTTCTTTCTATCACATCAATTCTGTTACTTTCGTGCAAGTATTTGGTTGTTTGGAAGAAATTGATGTCAGAAATAAGACCCATTGCATACTCCCTTTGTAAATAAAATTTCTGTAATTTTTTATGCTGAGCAATAAATAATACTGAAGTATTTTAGAAAATCCTGGAAAAAATCTGAAATGTTGTAGAAAAGTTCTCGACACACAAACGTAATTTACGCCATTCAGCACAGTCTTGAGCTTATATGAATCGTACTGTGTTAGAAAAGGATAGAAGTATGCCATTACACATTTTTACCACCCACATCCTCCCACTTCCACCCAAACAACCAAAGCTCCCTTATTTGCAAATGCCCACGTGGGGCCTTCTACCACTGCAACAACAAGTGGGTGGCAGTGGGTGGTAATGGAGAAAAAGCTGGACATACAGACGAACACTTTCATATATAAATATTGATTGATTTATAACAAATCAATATATTCACAAGGAACGCTTATGGATTCGATATTTTTGTCTGAATTAATGCGTCACCGTTACCGTTACCGCGTAGTGGCGGTTAAGAATATCCACTACCCCATATCTTCCCGTGGTTGTCGTAAAAGGCGACAAAGGGAAACAGGCAGGAGATGGGCAGCAGCATCTTCCTGATAACAACAAACTTACAATAAAAAATCTGCGGTTGCCAACCCGCTCGCCAAGCGTGGCAACTATGGCATATACCCCCTATGACGAGAGTAACAAAGAACTATGATGAAAAGAGAAAACAAAGAAGATGAGAGTAACTGGATACGGTGGCGACCATGGTAACGGCGGGGCAGGGGGTGCTAAGAATCTCTGGTGCTGGTTCGGTTGCCACCTAAGACGACTCGACCTGGCAACATACAACGCACGCACCTTGAGGACTGACGAGAAGATCGTGGAGCTGGAAGAAGAGATAGACAAGTTACGCTGGCATATTATAAGATTATCCGAAGTACGAAGAGAGGGGGAGGACACGGTAATCCTCGAATCCGGCAACTTGCTCTATCACCGGGAGGGCGACCATCTGTCCCAAGGAGGTGTCAGATTTATCGTCCACAAGTCTCTCGTTAAGAACGTTGTAAAGATTGAGAGTGTGTCGACGAGGGTTGCGTACCTTATACTCAGAATCACCAAACGATATTCGCTGAAGGTCATATAGGTTTACGCACCAACCTCGGAACACCCCGATGAGGAGGTGGA